GTGAATAATATAGGCTCGACTCTCTCCAAACATGCTATCTGTGTCATCCCAAATGGAATAGAATCGGAGGACCTGGAGGAATCCAAAACAATTACTTAAAAAAGAATTAATGCCCCCATCCCTCCATTCCCTAAGAAGAGGGCTTAATTTTTCCTCTTTGTCATTTAAGGTTTAAACATAAACAAATAAGGATCAGTTGACATCATGGTGGCAAAGTAGCTGCCCCGTGATGAGCTCAAGAAAAGAAAAATTCTTCCAAGGCACCGTAATGGCACTTGAAATGTTGAAATAGTTGTCAACAGCTAGAAATGAGTAAAAGATATCCTCTGTACAGAAATCAGAGGTTAAGCAGCTCAGTTTTTTTTTTAAAATCTGATTTTTAATTGATATTCTTTGTTCCTACATCACCTTCATCTTGAATATATCCCTGTATATATCTATTACTCAGGGAGCCCTTCCTTGTAATGAAGGCTTAAAAATAAGGAATAACCCAGTTAAAACCAAAATACTGATCTGTAAATAAAATCAGCTGAGGTACAAAGAGTAACTGGTTCTGTTCACAGTGACATATGGATCTTAATAAAGTTATATTAAGATTGCTTATACATCTCAGAGGAAGCATCAAAGAGAAGTAGTTGTCCCTGCCTCTCTGAACAGGGACACCAAAGCCAGGATCTGCGGACAAAATAAAAATAGTAGAGAGACCTGCTGCGTCTCTGAGTCATGTATCCAAGACCCCATAGAGACTCTCCCAAGATTAATCAAAACAGATGACACTACCCACTTGTGATGATTCATGAGGGCACAAACAGTACTGCTTGAAGGAACCTAAAAAAAGAATTTCCAAAGATTATGAAGTCTTGGGCAAGAAACTGAAGATCCTAGGAATATAAGTTGGTTTTTTTTTCCTTTACTTTTGCTCATTGAAAGCAAGGGATGTTGAAAAGAAACAATTATTTAGGATATGAATACTGGCTAAGAGGGTGGTGTCCACGAATGGGATTTGGGTTTTTAATGATGACTTAAAACACAGGAATAATATACCCCTGACCAGGGATGGAGCAGAGCTAACAAAGGCTGATTAAGATTGTATTTATAGGGTTTCTTGCAAATCTAATAAAAAGGTCCTTAAAGAATGGAGGAATGATAAGTCTGCCTATGTATATCCCATCAAGAGAATAATTATAGTTCAGAAGAACAGCAGTTGGGACCCCTGTAAATTCACAGGAGACAAAATCCAAAAAAGAACAAGTAATAAAACTCTTGGTCTCAAATGTCTATGCATAAATGCCAAATGTCTAGGCAACAGAGGTGACAGCACTAGAAATCCTAACACAAGGAAGTAAATTTGACCTCATCCCTAAGACCTGGTGGAATGAAACTCATGCCTGGAAAAATGGCTCTACAATAGAATACGTTATTCAGAAGAAACAATATAAGCAAAAGAGGGGGTAGTAGCATTGTATAGTAAGAAGGCATACTCATGAGGAAATCCAGAAACCAGAGGAGGAAAAATATAATGGACAATAGTTGAGTGAAGCTAGCAGAAAGAGAAACTTAACTAATTTTTCTGTACTTACAGTTTACTACACACTACCTAGACATAAAAAGGAACTAGAGGACGAGTTTGGGAGATCTATCACCAATCTGGGAAGCAGGCCTGATATAGCTGGGATGGGGAACTTCAGTTATCTAGACATATGCAAGGGTATATGCTTGCACTCTCTCTCTCTCTCGTTTTGTTGTTGGCTCATTCTTCTACTCTATTTCTTGATTTGGAACTTTATGTTAATGATGGGCTCTGTTCCTAGAATAGGGGAGGAAGGGTTCATCTCAAGCTTCAGGCTTTTTCACACTGCTAAAAGCAGAGCAAACAAGCCAACAAAAAGAAGCTAACCGTGAAAAGCTATTATGGTGACAGGGAAGATCAAGACACAAACTCAGAAGAAGACAATGGAGTCAAAACAGCTACAAGCAAAGCCTCAAAGGAAAAAAAGTGAATCAGACACAAACTCAAGAAGAATTCCTGAAAGAGATAAGAAATAATTTTCAAAATTAAATAAGAATGGTAGAGGAAAAATTAGGTAAAGGTATGAAAACAAGGCAAGAAATTATGTAAAGAAAATTAACAGCTTGACAAAACAGGCACCAAAAAATTCATTGACGAAAAGAATTCTTAAAAAGCAGAATTGGGAGCAGCTAGGTGGCACAGTGGACAAAGCAAAAGCAAAATAATTAAAAGAGATAATCAGGGAAACTATGTTATACTAAAAGGTGCCCTAGATAATGAAGTAATATCAAATTTGTAGAATGGCTAGACGCAATGACTAGTTGTTAATAATTCCATGTCAATGCAGGTGTAGGTTTCCAGTGGGATACCCCAAAGATCTGTACTTGGCCCTGCACTATTTAATATTTTTATCAGTGACTTGGAGAAAGGCATAGATGGCATACTCATGACAGTGAAACAAAGCTGGGAAAGAGAGCCAACACACTGAAAAACGAAGTCAAGATCCAAAAAGATCTTAATGGACAATGGAGACCAATGTAGCCTTACGCTTGGGTTCCAAAAATAATCCATTTCACAAGTAGAAGATCGGAGAAGCATGGTGAGATAGGAGTCTATCCAAAATGCCTGGCAGTTTTAGCGGACCACAAACTCAATCTGAGCCAGCAATGCTTTGTGATAGCCAAAAAAACCTGTGATCTTGGGCTTTTCTGGGATGCCCAGCTTCCAGAAGTGGGGCCCTAACCAGACTGCATCTGAAGTATTGTTCAAGTTAGGGGTCCCTCGATTTAAGAGTGACAGTGATAAATTGAAGAGCATCTAGGAAGGATGGCAACAAGGATAGTGAAAGTTGAATCCATGACAAATGAAGATTCAATGAAGAAACTGGAGATGTTTAGCCTGGACCATAGAAGACTCAGGAGGATGTGTGACAGTTGTCTTCATGTATTTGAAGGGGTATCAGGGGGACCAGAGAGCTGTCCAAAAGTACAACAGGCTGCTTTGATGGGTTCTTCCTCACTGAAAGTCTTCAAGTTTTTACATCAAGTGAATGACCACTTGGTTGGCTATGTGGCCATACAGATTCCTCTGGAGTATTAATTGGTCTAGAATGGCTGCTGACTCCCCTTCCAACTCTCGAATTCTGTTTTTTCAGTGAATAAGAAAAGGTTCATGATTTATGTCAGTCTTCTGGTTTCCATTTATAGCCCCAGTAACAACATCAGTAACTTAACATAAAATACTTTTTCAAAAAAGAGAAATCATTCCACTTAATGAATGGCAGGTGATGCTTTCTAAACTGAAAAGAATAAAATTCCTAAAAATAAAATAACAACACAGAGGAGACACTGAGTATGCTGGGTATGATGGAGCTATAAGTGATATACAACTACTCAGAAGCCCCAGTTGTGGCCAGAGGAAACAGAAAGTCAACTTTCTTACTTGGAGCCTCATGCTGCAAAGGACAAAGAGCTTCCAAGGTCCTGATCTTGAGGGGCAGGGCCCTGATCTTGGGGGACACTGTCAATATCTTTTAATCCCTCCTCGTGAGCATATTCTCATTATTTCTTTATATTTCACTCATCTAACTTTGTTAGCTAAATGAGTGGGTACTATTTATATTTTCACTTAATCACTATGGAAGCTCAACATAATATTTCAGGAGACATTTTCCTAGGAGAGCATAGGTTACCTGAGGAGAGGGACTAATTTTTTTTTTTAATATTTGTATCCACAGAACATATCAAAAAGCCTGGCATAAAGCAAGAGCTTACAAAATGCCTGTTGAACTGAATTAAATTAAAGAGAATCAGTTTGCTTGTGCATCAAAGCTCAAATAGCTCATGGTCAGAGGATGGACCTTAGTTGAACCACACTTGGCACAATCAGTTCAAAGGGAAAACTTGAACTCACTGACAATTCATCACCTATTTTATCTGCAGTTGGGGACAGCCAATAATTGGTTATCCTTTTTGATCTCATTCCCAGAATTTCTGATTTATACCAGGCTTCCACATATCTCAGGCACTAAGTCACCATGGTGTTTAGCAATTTCATTCTGGTATCTAGTATTTTTGGTGTCTGAAGCAGTAGGTAGGGAGGGAGGAGGAGGATATAAGAGAATAGGGGTTAGGACAATGATCAGGGCTTGGGGTTCTGTCCCACCTCAAAATGGAGCAGTCCAGACTGAAGGCCCCTAGGAATGAGGATAGGGAAAGTAAAAATGGAGGGGAAGCACAATGTATGGGAAAGTTGTGCAGGGACGCAGGGTTTAGGCTAGGTTATGACAGGGATAAAAGGGCATGTTACCCTTTCTGAGCATCAGTTCCCTCACCTGCAGACTGGGGATAATTATATCCCAATATTATAGGCACTACCTACTTACTTCATAGAGGTATTGCAAGAAAAATATTTGTAAACTATAAAACACTGTTTAAATGTTAGCTATTATTACTCTAAAACTATAAGGCATTTGCATGGCCACATGAGAAATACTAGATACGAGTATATAGCATATTTGCCATTTTACATCGAATTATTTTGTCTGACATAAATATCTGTGAAGTTCTTTTCTATACTTGTTTCTACATAAAATCTAAATGATAATACTCACTGGTACAGAATATTATTTTTAGCTCTCATCAAAACAAAATCCCCAAAGCTGAAAATTCCCGTTTGCTAAATTTGGGGGCTGGCTTCTATGTATATACAGCAAATTTGTCATGCCTTGATTTATACTCCCGAGAGTTAATATAACATAACTGTGGTCTACTGTCATAAGTAGCTATCTCTAGAAATCGGCTTTTTGTTTAGCACAAAGGCACAGAGGTGGACCTAAACTATGCTGGTCTTATTGATCTCTGTCGGATTGTACTGAGATAGCTGGTGTTCTCATGCTTTTAATAGAAATAATATAGTTATATAATGCTTTAAGGCTTGTAAAACACTTTCCTCATGCCAGTGCTGTGGTATGGTTATTCTGTTTTTACAGAGAAAGAAGTTGAGGCTCCAAGGGGTCCTGTGACCTGCAGGATAGCAACTCTGATTTCCAGACCCCACCTCCAGCTCTCTGCTCTCAACAGCAGGAGGTTCCTCAAGGGTACCCGGCCAGAGAATGCATATCAACCTGACAAAATTTAACAGCAAGGAACCCGGAATAGAGTTTTTGTGAAATCACTATTTTGATATCAGAAACTCAACCAAATTCACCAGCTTTGGGATGTTTCTAGACATTGTAGTTTTACCAAAGGATTCAATGAGAATTGCCTGTGCTTTAAAAGAAGATATGGTCAATTTAAGACCTGAAACAGGAAGCAGATGTAACTCAAAAGTTTTGTTTTTTTGTTTTTTGTTTTTTTATATTACTTACCTTCCAATGAAGGGAGAGCATTTAGGGCTCAAAGTTTTAGAAGAGAATGTTTAAAAAAATAAATAGAATTTGAAAAAAAAATGACAAAGGGGATGGTTTCAGAAAAATCTGGGAAGACTTATGTGAACTGACACAAAGTAAAGTGAACAATACTGTATATAATCATGGCAATACTGTAACAATAATCAACTGTGAAAGAGTTAGCTAATCTGATCCATATAATGAACCATGACAATTTCAAAGGACTGATGAAAAATGCTCTCCACCTCCAGAAAAAGAACTGATGAATTCTGAGTGCAGATTGAAGCATATTTTTTTCACTTTATTTTTCTTGTTTTTTTTTTTTTGCAACACAGCTAATATAAAAATGTTTTATATGACTTTCCATGTATAATGAGTGGGAATTTGGAACTCAAAGTAAAAAGGAATGCTAAAAAAATTACAATCAATAATCCTGAAAAGGAAAAAAAAAGGTTTTTTGTTGTTGTTTTGGCTTTTTTACTTTACAATTTCACTACTTTAAAGGGGATCTCACTCAACTCAATTCTACACATTGGGTTGGCTCTCTGACCTGAAATTAAGGTATTCCTACAGCCATAATACTGGATGAATTCTGACAGCATTGTACCTACATGGACAAAACAAATTTCACCACAACCTATCAAAATAGTCTATTCATTGCTAAGGGTAGGAAAATTTGAAGAGGGGAGCAGATCCATTAAGGTTCACTTACCTTTTTATCAAAGGTCAGAAATTGTTTAAATTGGTCAAAGTCTGATGGGGTGACATACATGCGGAGAGGTTTTTTCCGGAGTTCAGTGTAAGGGTCCAAAGCCATTTTCTCTGGTGGATTCACTTCAATTCCTTGACTCTCTAAAAACACCTAAATAATTCAAAACACAAAATAATCATGTATATTCCTAGAAATATTATAGAAGGTAAAATGAACTCTGACTAGACAAGCAGAACTGATGGGGTGCTAATGATGGACCCTTAAAAGGCCCTGGACTTTCCCATATGGCCCAGATCCCTGGTTCCCAGGTCCCTGGCATTGGCCAGGGACACCCAGCCCTTTCCAGTTAATAATCCTTTCAACTGTGCAAGCTTTATGGCTTTGACCCTGCCCCAATCTCCAATTCTCTGTGTCCTCTAACCTAGCCCAGCCCTTCATTGTGTGTTACCTCAGGATTGCCCCTGGCCACTTTTCATTTTAATTCCATCTAGACCCCTTCCAGTCTGCCCAGGTCCCTGGAGTTTGCCTGGGGCACCTGGCCCTTCCGTCCTTTTTTGTTACCTCCCAATCACCCACGCTATTGGTCACTCCTTGATCACATCCAGATCTTCCCAGTTTTTTCAGTCTGGCCTGGTTGTCAATACAAGCATCACAACAGGGTGGATTCTTAAAATCTCGCCCACTCTAACTGGTATCCTAATAAACCTTGTCTCTGGCTAAAAAGAAGACTTGGGTCAAATTCATTCAAGGCAGGAACCATGTTGTTTGCCCTTGAATTCTGGGGTTCCCAGCACCCCTAGAGCTCAACAAAACCAATGAATGTTACAGACAACATGAAGTCAGGTTTTAGGAGTGGGGAATTCTTGACCTCGACTGCCTAGTCAACTACTTCCCGTCTACGCTGGGCAAGTCATGTAATACCACATTTTAATCCAGCCATATATACAAGATTACAATAAAGAATTTCTTCATGATGTATAACTTATAAATATTGCTGGACAATGCAATATAGTCTAGGAGACATTGGTATAAGAAAACTTGGACCTAAAAACTGAGTAAGGCCTGTAAAATTTAGCTAGGCGCCAAAGTCAATAAGCAGTGATTAAGTGCCTACTAAGCACCAGGCACTTTGCAAACTTCTAGGGACACAAAAAGAGGCAGAAATCTGTTCCTTTCCTCAAAGAGCTCAAAACCTAATTGGGAGACAACACGCAAACAAATACATGCAAGCAAGCTATGTACAGGATTTGTGATTGTTCATTCATTTCAGTCATGTCCAACTCTCCGTGACCCCATTTGGGGTTTTCTTGGCAAAGACACTGGAGGGGTTTGACATATCCTTCTGCAGCTCCTGTGACAGATGAGGAAACTGAGGCAAAAAACTGGATGTTCGGTGAGCTTGCTTCCGAGATTGTCCCAGTTCTATCGTCGAGTGTCATATAATTGGAAATAATAATGAATGCAATATGTCCTTGTATGATGCTTTACTGACAATTTTTACTGTCCTCTTTACTTACATAAGCTATTTTAGAAATAATTGTTTTAGCTTGTTATATTTTCATCAAACAAAAAAAAATCAGATTCTTGTTTTTAAATTAGACATTTTTTTTTATAAATACATTTATAATTTTGTTGAATGCATGAAGCTATGTCATCATTGTTTTTCTACAATTTGGTATCATGCCCTGTGTATCAGTAGGAGCTGCTCCAGTATGAAATATGGCTACTGTCACATTTGCATGTCCTCTATACGTGATCTGGCAAACAACAGTCCCCATTCACAGAGCACTTTACTATGACTAAGCATGTTATATTATCTGATTATAGTAGTCAAAAGAAAAAAAAACCAAACCTGATTTTGGGGGCCAGGATTTTATTTTACTACTTAGACATCTCTGCCTAACGCTGCCTTCTTCTCCTGCTTGGCACCCTGTCTTCTGGAATCTTTAGTGCCTGGAACTTTCCATTTCCTACACTACTCCCCTACCTGGCCTCTCCCTTCTGGCAACATCTGATGTAGAGAACCAATAAGAAGCCCCTGAACAAGACCCTGAACCTTTCTATGCAATCCCTGCTCTGGGCCCATTGTCTTTTTGTTCCAAGATGTGAACCGCTCTAGACTATCTTACCCCTAGGATGTGGTATGGCTGCAGTGTGGGAGGTTGCCCTGTGATCCTTTCTGGCAGACAAAGGAGTTCAATTGCTGCCCTAGTGAAAGAAGCTACTCAAACCATCTCCAACTCCAAGAAGCAGCTTCTCCACAATGCCCTCCATAAGGCCCCTATTTCCTCCTGCTGTGACCAATCTGGATGTATCTTTCTTTGGTTATCTATACCTTCCCCTCTGGGATCCCACCACTGGGCATCCTCTTAAGCCAAAAGCTTTCCCTTGTAAATTAACATTAATTGGGTGGCATTAAAATGCACCCAATAAAGGAGTTTTGCTTTTAGCATCACTGGTTGGTTCAGCTCTCTTGCAAATAAATGCCTTCAAACTGCATAAGTAGCCTGAAATACTAATGTATGATTATCCCCATTTAACAGATGGGGGAGCTGAGGCTCAGAGAAAGCAAAAGACTTGCTCATTATCACGTAAGCAGTTAAATATCAGCCTCAGGACTTCAACCAAGGTCTCCTGGCATCTAGCCCAAATTCAATGCCCTTGCCACGATTCCATGGCACAAACTGTACCTAACGATATTTATTTCATCTCCAAAACCTGAGTTACTAGCACTTAGGATTTCTTTTTATTTCAGACTTCTCAGTTCTACCCAATAACACAAAAGAGATATAGGCACCAACACTTACTTGTGGACAGCAAGAAGAAGATGATCTATGTGGGAAAATTGGAACACTAATGCATTGTTGGTGAAGTTATGAAATGATCCAACCATTTTGGAGAGCAATTTGGAACTATGCCCAAAGGGCCGTGAAAATGTGCATACCTTTTCTATACCCAAAGAGATCATACAAATGGGAAAAGGACCCATATGTACAAACATATTTATAGCAGCTCTTTTTGTGGTGGCAAAGAACTGGAAATTGAGAGGATGCCCATCAATTGGGGAATGCCTGAACACGTTGTGGTATATGAATGTAATGGAATGCTATTGTGCTATAAGAAATGATGAACAGGCAGACTTCAGAAAAATCTGGAAAGACTTGTATGATCTGATGCTGAGTGAAGTGAGCAGAACCAGAAGAATGTTGTACACAGTAACAGCCACGTTGTGCAATGCCTAATATTGATAGACTTAACCCTTCTCAGCAATAAAAGGATTTAAAACATCTCCAAAGGTGATGGAGGGTGCTATCCACATCCAAAGAAAGAACTATGGAGCTGGAATGTAGATTGAAGCATACTATTTTGCTATTTTTTTCCTTCTGTCGTGTTTTGTTTCCTCTTTCTAGTGGTTCTTCCTATTGGTTCTAATTCTTATTTACATCACTAATGTGAAAATATGTTTAATAGGAATGTACATGTATAGCCTATATCAGATTGTGCATCTTGGGGAGGAGGTGGGGAGGGAGGGGGAGAAAAATTTAAAACTCAAAAGCTTATGGAAATGAATGTTGATAATTCAAAGTAAATTAATTTAAAAAAAAAAAGAAGGAGCTGGTCTGAGTTGGTTGCTAAACTAGATTTCTTACAAGTGTCTGAACTGGCACTTTTATGGAGCCAGACTAATACAGATCTGAGGATTTCCCCCCATCTTCACCATTAAGGGAAAAAGAAAACAGTACCTCCTCAACATTACTAAGGCCCTTTCCTTCTAGCTCTAAAAGTGTATTACTCTAACAAAAAGTCAAGATAAATTTTTGAATTAGTTAAAATCCTGAATTTCATTTTGTTAATTCATTACAAATCAATGTAATGAAACTGTTTTCACAGTCACTGCTGTTTTCCAATTCATCTTGACATCTTGTCTCCTTAAAGGCTTCATTCAATTCATCAATCAATCAACAGGCATTTATTAAGTAAATTAGTGCCAGGCACTTTTCTTCACACTAGGGATACAAAAAAAAAAAAGTGGGGGAAAAAGTTGCCTTGGAGGAGCTCACATTCTAACAGACTTGACAATAAATGGTAGAGTAATTGGGAAGAGGAATGGCGAAGTACAACAGAATGAGATCTGAACAGGTTTTAAAATTGGAAATGCAACAGAAACTTGGTTTGATGTTTTGGCAGCTATGGAGGCTGTCTTAGGGCATTTGAGTAGTATAGCATAATAAAGAGTATGGGGCTTTTGTAAAGAATCATGAGGGGGAGCCAAGATGGAGGAGTAAGCAGGAAATCACCTGAACTCTCCCCAGTTCATCTCTAACAACTATAAAATATCACCTCAAGATGAATTCTGGAAAGGCAGAACCAACAAAGACATGAGGTAAAACAATTTTCCAGCCCAAGACAACTTGGAAGGTCACCAGGAAAGGTAAAAGAAGAATGCAGTTCAGGGCAGGCAGTATCCCAATAAGGTGGCATCAGACACTGCCTCAGTAAGCCAGAGGAGGCACACAGCCCCAGTGCAGGTCAGTGACAGGGCTCCAATGCAGCACCGGGCTAACCGCCAG